CCTGCGTACTGAAAGGTACCAGGTTCGATTCCGGTCAAGGGCATATACATTGGTTGTGGGCACATCTCCAGTAGGGGGTGTGTGCAAGAGGCAGCTGATCCATGATTCTATGTCATCCTTGTTTCTAACTCTCTATCCCTCTCTTCTTCTCTGTAAAAAAATCAATAAAATATATTTTAAAAAAAAAAAAAAAAAAAGGCCAAGAGACACCTAGAGCGAATGCATTTTGATGGGGATGTCCAAGGTAGTGCAGAAGCAGGTCCCGGGGGACCTGACTCATAGAGAATGTCCCAGGGAGGCGCCAGGGGGCCAGAGACAGGAGCCATTGAAGGAAAAAGTTCATCTTTGACCCACTCAGGTCCGAGCATTGGATTCCAATTACGTGGGTCCTAGGGTTCCAGGCAATTATGCTGGGCTGGTGACAGGAGGAAGCAGCAGTCACAGAGGCACCGATGGGGAAAAATTGGGTTTGACTGAGACCAGCGTATAAGGACGGCCCCACAGGGACTCGGCTAGAAAGCACTCTGAGGCTTGCTGCCAGGCTGCTGGGCATATCTGCTTTTCTTAGAGTGGAATCTGGACTGTGTCACTAAGATCACATCTTGCTCCTGGGCTGAGGGTGGGGGGACTCGCTGGAGTCTAAACAGAGTCAGGGAGGAAGCACAGAGACTTCCCACGAAGCTCTCTCCGTGGTGGGGGGAGGTGAGCTCCGGAGGACAAACAGCTCAGGGCTGAATTCTCCTGTTCTCAGGACAGGGCCAGCTGAAAACATGCCTGAAACTGAGTCTTCGGGAGTTCAAAGTGCAGAGGAAAATGTAGACAAAAAAGGGTGAGAGGGACGCAGGAGCCTGAGTTTTAAATATGCTGTCTGTCCCCAATGTCTGAAGGTGCTGCTGTACCTCTCCCATCCTCCACCCACCCTCTCTGGCATCTCACTCCCTATATATCCCCTCTTGATGCTTTCCAAAAGGTTCCCAACCCTCTCTCTTAGGCAATTTTTCCCTCAAGAATTTTTTTTAAAAAAATGGTGCCACTCAAGATTCACCTGATTTGCATGAGGACTTGAACTTCCTGCTGAGTATTCATGGAAGTAACCCATGGCCAGAGGGGCAGAGGGTCTGGGGTCTAGTCCCCGTTCTGTAACTGACTCACAGTATGGCCAGCACCTTTTTGGCACTTGGGCTCTTTCTCTGAGAATGGGGACAGGAATATACTCGGCCTTGGGTGGAGGTAGTGAGTATGCATGAAATCAGACAAAAGTTAAAAGGGTTTACCAGTGTAAGGCTATCTATATATGTATATAAAAGCTTAAGTGACCGTTCGACCTTTTGACTGGTAGCTATGATGCACACTGACCACCAGGGGGCAGATGCTCAATGCACAGGCATGGAAACCTAGAACAGACTGATGAATCTCAGAGGGAAGCAGGGAGAGGGGAAGGTGGGAAGAAATTAACCAAAGATCTTATATGTATACTAGAGACCCGGCATGGATTCTGCACAGGTGGAGTCCCTCAACCTAGCCTGCAGGGAAACAGGTTGAAACCAGCTCTCCGATATCCCCCGAGGGGTCTCAGATTGCAAGAGGGCACAGGCCAGGCCGAAGGACCCCACAGGTGCATGAATCCATGCACAAAGCCTCTAGTTAGTTGTATAAATGGAAATCTGTCCGAGGATGGAGCCTTCCCTGGAAGTTGGTTCATGGAGACCAGGACAAATGCAGCCAGAGAATGCAGTGTACCTGTGGGAAAGCTAGAAACTGCCTGCATTTTCAGTGAAAACATACACTGAGGCGCATGCCTTCAATGGGTGCAATGTAGCAATGAAAACGAGTACACGAATGCTCCACACAACCACATGGGTAAATCTCACAAAACGTAATAAAAGGAGCAAGTTATGAAAGAATACACGTGGTAAGATTCTATTTATGTAAGATTTTGGAAGTCAGAATAGCTGGTATCTTTTGGGAGGAAGGAAGGGAGAAGGGGTTTGCATTCTGGGAAGGGCATGGGGAGGGGGCGGCTGGAGGCTGCACCCTTGTTTCTGGCCTTGAGAAGGGGTTACAGCTATGTCCACTTTACCATTATACTTTAAACCTTACACACGTTTAAAATATATATTTTATTGACTTTTTACAGAGAGGAGGAGAGAGGGATAGAGAGCTAGAAATGTCGATGAGAGAGAAACAGTGACCAGATGCCTCTTGAACACCCCCTACCGGGGATGTGTCCGCAACCAATGTACATGCCCTTGACCGGAATTGAACCTGGGACCTTTCAGTCCGCAGACTGACCCTCTACCACTGAGCCAAACCAGTTTCGGCTAAACTTTACATATGTTTAATGTAGTCCTGTGGATATATAATCTATTTTACTTTTTTTTTTTTTTTTTTTTAAATAAAGGCATCTGAAATCAACTGGGAGTCAGCAAAAAAATTAGAATAATATCCCAGCCAGTGTGGTTCAGTGGTTGTGCATCAATCTATGAACCAGGAGGTCATGGTTGGATTCTGGTCAGGGCACATGTCTGGGTTTTGGGAGGCATGCGGGAGGCAGCTGATCAATGATTCTCTCTCATCACTAATATTTCTATCTCTCTTCCCTCTCCTTTCTTCTCTCTGAAATCAGTAAAAATCATATTCTTTAAAAAAAATATTAGAGTAATAGCTTAGAGACCCATTTCCTCGATTTTGTAAGTCAAGAATGAAACCCAGAGAGATTACAAGACTTGCTCAAGGTCACATAGTGTGTCCCTAGTGGGTCCTGGGCTAGAATGAGGGCCAGGGCTCCTAATTCCGTATTCCTTCACCACCTTCCATCTCTCTGAAGAGGCCTCTTTAAGGGACAGTGATAGGCTGGGACTCAGTGTTTCTGCCTGGGAGTTCCCTTGTTTTGTGAAAAGGAAAAGGGGCGAGCTACTGGGCTGATATGATAAAGAGCTGCTGTAAACTCAGAACTGTAAACACGTTTCAAATGGAATTTTAAAAGATTTAAGTGTGTGTGTCCCCCCCAAAGTTACATCATGATGATGATAAAATTACAAAAAAATAAATACCAGAAATCTCTGGCACGTCTGAAACCTAGAGCGGGGCTTGAGCTCCATCTGAATTGCAGATGGTATCGGGATGAGGCTGGCTTGAAGGGGCTGAGGGGTGGGGGGCGAGGGGAGTGGAGGAAGGACAGGGAGCCACAAAGTCTGCAATTTTATTGACTTATCCACCTGGCCTAGGTGAGACCCCTAGCCCTGGGACTTCAGGAAAGGAACCTCTGCTATCTCCCTGAGAGCTTTTTTTGTTTTGTTTAGAGGTCAATTACTTCCCATTTGGGGAACTTGTGAACATTAAGAGGTGACTGGAGTGATGGGACTGAACGATGCAGATAAGAGGCTGATGGCTTACAGAGCCTGGTGAAAGCCGTGCCTGGGATAAGCGGTGGTCGAAGAGACACACACAAAAAGGGGCAGCTTTCAGTGCAGAGGAGAGATTACAGGACGGAAGATGGGCAGCTGGGGGTGGGCTTGAGAGTGGGGAGAGGGAATGCATTTCAAAGTGATCCTGACAGGCGGAAGGGGGGGAGGGAGGAGAGAGAAGGGAAGAAGAGAGTGTTCCTTCTCTTTTCTTTCCTTTTGTCCTGAGAATCTCAAACTTCCCTCAAGAAATATCCACATGGAGTGCACATGGACAAGGCTTGGTATAGGTTTATTTGTTTTTGTTTTGTTAGACCATCAAATATGGATGCTACAGTAATCTGGAGAGAGAAACAGACAATGTCGCAGGCCAATGGAACATTTAAAGGAATCATAGGCATACACACATAGATGTGAAATCAACAACTCCTCCAGCCTCACCCATTCTCTTCAGTCAACTAAATTTACTAATTCTTGAAAGCTACCTTCAATTGTATTGGAATTACCATAAAATGCACTCTGGCTTCAGCATGTGCTCATTTAGCCCTTGCCTCTTTGGTTCCGTGGATAGAGTATGTGCCCGTGGACTGAAGAGTCCTGGGTTTGATTCCCAGCAAGGAGCAAGGGCACATGAATGGATTGCAGGCTCAATCCCCAGTGGAAGGGGGGAAGGGGGTCTGCAGGAGGCAGCTGGTCAGTGGTTCCCTCTCATCATCCATGTTTCTATCTCTCCCTCTCCTTCCTCTCTGAAATTAGTAAAAACATATTTAAAAAAAATACAACTTTTCTCCATCCCTAAGTCCTAGACCTTTCTCAGAACTCCTCTAGGAAATGGTGCCGTTCTCACCCTCATCACCAGGCTTACCCCTCTTCTCACCCTCTAAGTACCCCAGCTCCCGCCAGGTTTTCTTTCTTTCTGGAGAGCTTATTGTCTGTCCTATTTGACAGGCAGCATACACCACCTAGTATTTTTAGATACCTTTCTCATGTCAGTCTCTGGTATCCAATTAGATAATAGATTCCTTCAGGGCGGCAGCCAAATCTTGTTGCCTCTTGTGTCCCTAGCAGACCTGTTTAGTGATGACTGAGTTACTGATGACTGAACTAAGCCTCTTCTCCATCACTCACAGCCTTGAGCCCAGCCCTGGCTCCTCTTCCCAGCTTTTCCATGTGGGCAATGGTGGTAGAGGGAGTGTGGAGGCCTGGTCACCACACCGCAGGTCTGGTCACTGCTTCCGGGTTCCTTAACTAGGTGAGAAAGGGTGGGCGGGTGGAGGGAATGCATGTATTAATTTCCTACTCCGTGCCAAGTAAGTTCCGTGATCTGCATGTCTAGGGTAAGGGCCTTTTACCTAAAGGGCAACAAAATATTTTTTTTCAAAACTTAATACTGTATGCAGCATTTTTAGAATCTTGGGGAAAAAATGTAATCTCAAAAAGAGAAAAAATAAAAAGGAGGGGAAAATGTAAGGAAATGGTAAGAAAAAATATAAACAATTATTTGTATTTTTTTTTTTTTAGCTTACACATATAAACTTTAAGAGGTGCATGCTATGTGAAATAGGTATTGCTTATAAGGGCCCCAGCGGTCTCTCTTTCCCAGGTCAGTAAAAACAACCAGGCACATTCATAAGTGAGAAAATGCAGGGCCGCGTTGCGTTTTAATTAAGCCTCAGAATTTATTAAATAATACACTTTAACTTTTGACAAGTTAGTGGTCCGGGGGATGAAGAACCAGAGTTTTCATTGGCTAACGATGTTATTTTTTAAAAATCCTGCTTTCTGTACCAGTGCCTGCCAAAGACAAATGTCCCCATGAATACATTTAGTTTGTTTGGGGTCTTCAGTTTGCATGACTTCAGACAGGGCTGGGTCCAGGGGAGTCGGACTTTCCCCTAAAGTTCAGGCTCTCCCCCCTCCTGTGGGGACTCAAGGCCAAGGGGAGCCTCCTTCCCGGTTGGAACGTGGAAACCTGTTGCTCTGGAAGAAAACCTGCGGAGGCAGAGGCGGCGGGAGGGGGGCCTCAGGGCACCTGGCTCCAGGGCCAACTCCAGTTTGGTCCCCAGCGAGTCTGTAGACACCAAGGACTTGGGGGTTTCATCTTTACTTTAATTCCAAGTTGTTCAGGTGGATAGATGCTAATGGCTTACACACACGCGAACAGGAATATATTGTATTTCATGTATTTCCTCAAGATGCTGAGCTGTATACAAGAGAGAAATGCACTGACACGGAGGGAAGAGCCGGAGGATGCTCCCCCAGAAAAGAGCGCTCCACTGCGTAAATCCGAGTCTCTAGGAGCGCAGCTGGGAAGGAGGTGGGGGTGGGGTGGGGGGCTTAAATCCTATAGGAGCCTCTCTTCCTGATCCCCTGGGTTCTCCTTTTCCTGGCCGGTTCCCCACTCCCTTTCCTTCGCACAACTTTCTCATTCTTCCCCCACCTGCCGCCCTTCACTGGGGGACCCAGGCCCTCCGAATGCCCAGGCTGCAGCACATAAACCACCTTCCAGCCCCGACGACACCTTCCTCAGCTGGGCCCTGCCGCCCCAAACTGCCCCCCCCCGCCCCACCCTTGCTCTCCTCCTCCGGCCCGCGTTTTTCTGTCTCTGAGCGGGAAGAACGCTCCCAGGGCCTTCAGGCCCAGGCTCCCGGGGGCGAGCCAGTGTCCCCGAGATCGCTGTAGCCGGGAGCGCCATTCGGGTTGCCTCTTCCCTCCAGCGCGGCGGCCCATCTTCTCCGCTGAGACCGTTAGGCGGCGGGCAGCTGGACGGAGCCTCCGCCCGGCCTCGGTGGGTGTGCCGGGGCCAGGGCGCTTCACCAGGCCGGGACCCCCTGCAGCGGGGCGGGCAGAGGGCCCTGCGCGCTGCCGCTCTGGCCACCCCCGCCGAGGCCCAGGCCGGCCAGGGGCGCGGGCGGAGCGGGGCCCGGGGGCGCGCCCGCGTAGCCCCCGCCGAAGCCCGCCGCGTAGGGCGCTCCGCCCGCGTAGCCGCCGTAGCAGGCGTAGGGCGCAGCGGCGGGGGCGTAGGGGCCCGGGAAGGCGGGCGCGCCGGGGCCCAGGCAGGGCCTGCCGTCCCGCACCAGCACGGGCACCGCTACCCGGCGCGGCGCCAGCGGGTGGCCGGCCAGCTCCAGGGACTTGTCCTGCCGCTGCCGCTTGCACTTGTAGCGCCGGTTCTGGAACCAGATCTTCACCTGCGTGGACGTGAGCTGCAGCGCGCTGGCCAGGTGCTCGCGCTCCGGCGCCGACAGGTAGCGCTGCTGCTTGAAGCGCCGCTCCAGCGCCAGCACCTGCGCCTGCGAGAACAGCACCCGCGGCCGCCGCCGCCGCCGCGCCCGCGCCTGCCCGGCGCCCGCCCCGCGCGCCCGGTCACCTCCGCCGCCGCCGCCGCCGCCGCCGCCGCGCTCCGGTCCCCGGGGCCCGCCGCCGGGAGGCGAGGCTGCGCGCAGGCCGGGCTCTGAAAGCACAGGAAGGAACACCGTCAGCGCCCTGCCCCAGGCTCACCCAGCAGTGTCTGCACGGTTTGCAGGGGACGCCCCTCTCCCTGGGCAGCCCGTAGTTCCAGCCCCTGCTCTCCTCTCCGCGGACACCCCACTCCCGCCAGAGGCCGTCTGAAGGTTCATTCTCCCTACCCCTCCCCGCCAGTCGCTTTGGTACCTGATGGAATATAAGCAAACTGCGACAATCTGTGGTCCCAGGGGTACAGCCGTTTCCCAAAAGGTGGACTGTCTAAGACAGCTTCGATTTCCTTTTAGAATGTCTTTTTTTTTGTTTTATTTCATCATCATCATCATCATTATTATTATTATTATTATTATTACTGGTGGTGGTGGGGGTAGAGGCTGCTTGCTGCGATTTCTGTTCTAAAGTGTGTTTGAGTTTGAGGAAACGTGCTGAAAGAATCTAGAGTAAATAAAGAAGGGACTTATCAGAAGCGGGTTGACTTTGAGCAGACCTTGGTGGAAAGAGAGAGGAAGGGGATGGGGAGGGTCAAAGAGAAAGGTGGGGGCAGAGACTGAGGGACTCGGTGACGTCCTGCCAGTGCCTGCCAGAGGCTCCTGTCCTCTGTTACCCACCCTGCTCCCAACTGGGAGCGTCCAGTGCCCACCACCCTCACCCGCCCTGGCACACACCCTTGCCATTTTGGTCAAGTCACCGGCACTGCGGACCATCCTCTTGTTTCTGGGAGGCAAGGCTCCGTAATCCAAATTAACAAAATAAAATAAAACAACGTATTTTCTGACTCTACTCTTGGCTGAGAAACTGAGGTTCTCTTGGAGGTAGGTGTAAAGTTGAGATCCACATCTATGACTTTTTTTTTTTTAAGCGGCCTCTTTCTCCTGGAGGGTCTGCGGCAAGTGGGTGGCTTTGCCCCGTTTCTTCCCCCTCCTGGGCAGCGCCCTGGCCCGGGCACACGGAGTGGGCACCAACGGAGCGGGTTAAAACAGGGCTATGTCCCCGGGCGGCCTCCCGCCGCCCAGTCGCAGCCTCCCTGCCTTCTTCCCATCTCCCTGCTGCCTGGGCTTAAGCGCTGATTTTACTGAAGGGAAGGTGGGTAGAGATGAAACCGAGAGTTTCCGTGGAAACTCAGGCCAATAATAAACCAGGAACATAAAGAAGAGGCGAGCTCTGGGAGCAGGGACCTGGGCCTCCTCAGACTTGGTGCGGGTTCGAACTGGACTCCACATCCCCAACCAACTGAGCTGGCCCGTCTCCTGCTGGGGACTCAACGTTTGCAGAAATAAAAACTTCCTGCAGAGAAGCCTGTGCTCAGAGAAACCCCAGGACATCTCTCCTCTAAAAGAGAAATATATATATTATATATATTATATATTATACACTATATATTATATATATTATATGTTATATATTATATATATTATATATTATATATTATATATTGTATATTGTATATTATATATTATATATTATATATTATATATTATATATTATATATTATATATTATATATTATATATTATATATTATATATTATATATTATATATTGTATATTGTATATTGTATATTGTATATATTATATATATATTGACGAGGGTTTGTTTTGTTACCAAATCAAAAACTAACAACTGATCTTCAGCGACTGAAACAAACAGGACCCCACTGGAAAGTTTCTCACCACGCAGGCACGCTGAGGGGTTGCATGGCACCCCGGGTGTGCCAGCGCTCCTTGTCCTTCGGTTCTGGTCCGGTCCGGAACCTCTCTCGCCCCGTGCCCTACATCCCTGGAAGCCAGGTGGGTTAGCTGGACGGGCGCGCCCAGGCCACCAGGAGGGTCCCTTTCCCGCAGGGAGCTAGGAACTCGCTGCGGTGCTTGGGCTGAGAGGGGAGCGAGGAGGTCGGAGGAGTGTGGGCCTGTCTCCCCGGAGCAGGAGAGCACAGGCTATCGGGCCGAGGAGTGGAGGGCACTCCGTGTTTACAATCCGCTGCAGGAAACCCCGGCTTCTTGGCAAACAGGGCGAAGTGTAATCTTCTCCGAATCGCTCTGAGCTGGCCTCTGTCTTTACGTGGCCAGTCTGCGCCCCGAACGGAGGGGCCGTGGCACAGCCGGGCGGAGGGGACTGACCTGCGAGGCGGTCCCCAGACCTGCACGGAGGCCGCAGACCCAGGCGCAGAGGCTGGACAGGAGGGAAGGTGGCGTTTTCTCCCCTCAGAATGTGGCGCTTCAGGCACAAGTCAGTGCAACACAGCTTCCCGCCCGCCTCTGCCCTTCGTGCGGCGGGACACCGGGTCTGGGCCTCGCTGTCCGCGCATCGCGCATCGGCGGCGCCTTCAGAGGGAGAGCGGGAGCCCAAACTGTGCTGAGGTTTGGCCGAGAGGCTTCTCGAAGCAGCTCAAACCCAAGCTGCTCTATCCCAAGCTGCCTTCCCCAAGCTGCCCTTCCCCTTACCTCACTCCCAGACCCTGCAGACCCGCAGGGCTCCCACCAAATCCTGCCAGGGACTCGGACCTGGTTTGGCCGCCACCTCTCTTTCTCACTTTGTTGTGGAGGCACCGGGCTGGGTCAGTCCGGCCTCTCAGCAAGTCCCGGGGAAGTCCGGCCTGGGCCGGACCCGCAGCTGTCAGTGTCCTCTCCCCACGCGCCCCTGCCCTGCGGGCTGCCCCTGGGCAGATGGGTTCGGGTGGAGAGGCCCGGGTGGCAGGGGAAGCGGGAGGGGACACAGCGCAGCCAAGGCTATAGAGCGGGTTCCGTGGAAGGGAGAGAAGCTGGCGGCCCTGGGACCGTGGCTGCAAGTGGGGTGGGGTGTTTGTGGGAATACGAACTCGAGGACTCGCTGTGGAAACAGTAAACCCCTAGGATTCAGGGCCTTATTTCCTATCTGGGGATCGGGGAGGAGGCGGCCCCGTGACTCAGGGCCTGCCTTTTGGACTCTTAGGTGAAGGGGGAGAAGGCAGGCCCTCGGCCCTGGGGGGACCGGGAGATGCGTGTCCAGCTGATCCTGGCCCACCCCACCCTCCTGACCTTTCCGTGGGTGTCCAGCCCCGGGGTGTACTCACCCACCCGCTCCGCGTCCATGTCTGCAATGCGCTCACTGGGATCCCCTGGAGGCTCCGGCCCGTCCAGCCACCTCTCTCCAGCGCTGGGAACCTCCGATCCTCGCGGGTCCGGGACCAGTTGCAGATACTGAGAGCTTTCGGGGCTCCCCTGGGCCCCCCGGAGCTGCAAGGCCGCTAGGCCAATCTGCTCCCGCTCCAGCCGCAGGATGTCGTCCACGGAGAAGGGCGTGGAGGTGCCGGAGTGCTGCAGCATCCCGGAGGCGGAGGGAGCGGGAGGCAGCGCCCCGAGCTCCCCGCCTGGCGGCTGCTGGCGCCGCGGACCCCGGGTGTGGGGCGGACGTCTGGCGCCCCGGACTGTGCCTCCGCCAGGGCCATCCCTGTGGCCGGTGACCAGGGCTGAGGGGCGAGCCTGGCCGCCCCCATTGGTTCCTGTGCAAACCACGTGCTCCCCCGGCAGCCCCGTCCTCCCCGGCGCTGTCCTCCCGCGCCCTTCTAACTCCCCTGCAGGCCCGGCTGCTGTCTGGGAAGGCTTGGCTCCTGGGGATCCTGCTCAGCAGCCAGGGAAGCGGAGGAGATGGTGCTGCGCGACGCCCGGATCCCAGTAAATACGGTACCGGCGCGAAGGAACGTCGGAGGTCAGCCCAGGTCCGAGATTCTTCGGGAGGACACGCAGGGATGGGGAATGGAGCCCTCGCTTTGCAATCCGAGCTGGTCCTTCCGGCCTGGCGATCGCTGAACTCCCGAGGCCGAGGAGCTCAGGTGGGGACCGCCGGGCCCGGGCACCGCGGAGGGAGGTACCCTCGGGCGTCTTCGGGGTGAGAGCTGCGGGGGCTCCTTCCCCGGAGCTGAGGTTGGACGAGGGAGGAGCGAGTCTGGACCAAAGCGGCCTAGACCCTTAGACCAAGGTGGAAACGCCTCGCATAGAGCCGGATCCACCACTTCATCGGTGGAGCATGTCAACCTCGGAGCGAAGAAAAGGGCAAGGGAGCTTTTTTTGGGGGGATCCCCAGGCTCTGAGCAGGCGAGGAGGCCAGTGGGTAGGGAGAAGGTCAACCCGGGCCCTCTCGAAGGTGGGCCCTCCATACCCCTCCACCCTCCTTATGCTCCCTAAAATGGATTGCCTTGGTGCTCAGGTGAATGTGAACGTGGCGCCCTCCAGGGTTGGGGAGTTTTGATGAGCCTTAGCTCTTCAGGAAAGCTCCCTGGACACAGCAGTGCCCAGCAAAGGAGGCCGTGTGATGCAGTGGTTATCACAGCCAAGGCGGAGCCAACTAGTCTAGCCTTGCTTTGTATGTATGAATTGTGGGCTTTGGGCAATGTATGTCTCTCTAAGCTTTGACTAATTAAAACTGGAGATAACAATATGCCCATCAGAGGATGGTTGTGATAACTATGAAACCATCAAAGAGTGAACTGCTGTAATTTCTGACACTACATGGTTCAGTGAAGGCAGCAGTCTTAGCACAATCTAAGTCGCTTAAAAATATTTTAAAATCAAAATGAGATCTCACTAGGGTTCTTTTGGGGATTTTAGATCAAATAGTGTTGTTGTTGTTGTTTTTTAAAATAAACCTTTTGAGGCAAATGCAAGAAATGGGTGTTGTGATTGACTGAAATGCAGATGAACTGGGCTCATCTGCCCAGGCTGGTGGGTGCAAAAATTTTTACATAAAATTTCAGCAAATTGGATGGTTTAGCCAAGTAATGATTTCTTTCTTTTTTTATAATATATTTTATTGATTTTTTACAGAGAGGAAGGGAGAGAGATAGATAGCTAGAAATGTCGATGAGAGGGAAACACCGACCAGCTGCCTCCTACACACCCCCTACCGGGGATGTGCTTGCAACCAATGTACATGCCCTTGACCAGAATCGAACCTGGGACCTTTCAGTCCGAAGACCTACCACTGAGCCAAACCGGTTTCGGCAAGTAATGATTTCTTGTACATCGTGTCATTTAATCTTTACATCAAAGCTATTTCCCGAGTTCCAGCTTCTTTTTTTCCTTTTCCACCAAATAGCGATCAGAGAGGTTAAGGGGCTCCCCAGGCCGTCCAGCTCAGCGAGGTCAAGGTGGCCCCGCTCTGGTTTTGTCTAAACAGTACCCCTTTTTCTTTTTTCTGGAAGGGACATTGTTTTGTCTTCAGAGATGTCGAAATCTTGCAATGACCCATAGATTTATTTAATGTGTTTCTAATGATAAAAGTCATGCACACTTTGGAAAATAAAGAAAAGTTGAAAAGAAAACAATGGTCCCTCCAGACCTAATGTTTAGGCACACTTCTTCTCCATGCTTTTACATGTATGTGTACAGGTGAGTTTGTGAATTTTAAAGTTACAGCATAAGCATGTCCAGAACTTTATTAGAGTTTTTACAAATCTACCTTAAAAGGGCAATATAATAGTTCATGTAACAGATGAACCATAATAGACTGTGTTACACTATATCCACTATACCTATTTTTTTTTTTTTTTTGACACTGTAAGACTCAGGGAGTGTCTCTGATTTTATCCTTGTCAACATTCCGGATTATTTCCTCGGAATAAATATGTAAAACAAACATTAACTAATTACAGTTTTAATGCTCAAAAGACATTCCAGGATTTCAAACAAACAAACAACAACAACAACAACAAAAACTCCTTCTCCTCCTCCTCCCCCTCCTTCTTGTACTCCTCCTCCTCCTCTCAGTTTCAGGCTAAAGTGGATATTTACAACCCCCACCCCCACCCCCACGGGAGAGAATGCGAATTTAGGGCCTTTCCATGGGGGGAGGAGGGGCACGAACAGGAGAGCAGGCGCTAGGGCTTTCCGCATCAGTCTCTCAGCTGGGTCCTTACCTTCCACGCTGGGCTGCGGGTGACCCCAGATTCAAACAGTAAGCTGGAACAAAGCCAGCGCCCACTCTGTAGTGGAATTCTGTCGCGCTCTATGAAGTCACAGAAGGAAGGACACTTTGGGAGAGACTTGGCATCAGACGCCCTAAGTCCAAATCCTGCTCCCAGGTACCCTGCCCTGCCTTGCTGCAAAGATCAAGTGAGATTTTGGACGAAAAAGAATTTCTAACCCCTCACAAGCGATGCAAACGCGGATCTCCCTTAGGCAAAGAGCGGTCTGAGTTCAGGCCCTGGGGCAGCAGGGGCTGGGGGGGGGGCACACCTGGAGCGGGGGCACATCTGGAGAGAGGTGCTCAAGTCCCACTTGCCCAACCTCACAGGAAGAGAGGCCAAGCAAGCTGCACTGGGTCCTGGTTTCCCGGGCGCTTTCTCCTCAGCCTAGCACTGGCCCTCCTGGATCTCCCCTCCCCCCTCCCCCCACACCAATACACACATTTCCCTCCCCTTTCAGCGCAGGGCTCGCTGAGAGCCACCCGCTGGAGAGAGGGACCAAAGCCGCTGATCTGGCCTCTTCCTAGTCAATCTCCTAGTCAATGGCAGCCACACTGGGGACTGCCCCGCTGCTGTGAGGTGAGCCCTTGCTACTGGCCAAAGCTAGGGTGTCCAGGAGGACCTGAGAGAAGCGAGTCTGGGGGTTCAAGCAGAAAAGCTGGGAGTCCTGGGTACTCAGGCAGGACTTGGCGCAGCCCAAACTGTGTGGTGACAGGTGTGTGTGTGTGTAGGGGGGGGAGGGGGGCAGCGGGGAGGGGGGGGAAGGGTCATTTCTTGTTCCTGAATGGAGTGTCTTCACCTCTGTTCTTAAATGAGATGGCCATGGGCCTGCCTCACTCCACTCAGCTCGCACTTACACCAGTGCTAGGTCCACAAACAGTGCTTCCAGTGCCGGAACATGGAGGAAGGGAGAGGCAGGCCTCCGCCCTTTTCTCCATCCCATTCTTGCGCAGGAGACAGATTTTATCTAAATTATTCCCGTGCGGTGTGATGCTTGCACAATCATATGGAATTTGTGCACAATATTTTTTTGTGGTTAACAGAGGTCCTCCCTCCCCCATTTCTTTCAGACTCTCCTAAAACTCAAAGATTTCTCCTTTAAAACTGCATACCCAACAGGCACTGAGGGTCCTGGGAACTCGCAGGAAACTAAAAGTCTCTAAGGTCTGTAACCTGAGTGCAGGTTCCCATTAGACTAGCTGGGACTCTGGGTCAGTTGTCAGAGCTGTGTCCCTAGTAACCAGCTGTGTCCCTAGGTGTCCAGGGTGGGCTTGTGGGTAAATGAATCTGCCTTGTTTGGCTGGGGGTAGTCTCAGGATGCCCCGGTGCTGGTCCAGAGGCATCTGGCTCACCCGGGGTAGTGGCACTTTTTGTTTTGCTGCGATCTGGTTTGCTGACACCCTTTTAAAGATATTGTAATACTTTGTTTATTTGTTGAGTACGTAAGCAGTAACATAATTCTAAAGTCAGAATTTTGCAAGAAGATGTACTCAGAGAAGTGATCACTCCACTTTCATCCTTTCTATTCCCGTTCCATCACATTGCCAATCTCATTGATTTATTCTTCTGTGCTTTTGCACAAATGAGCAGATCATGTATGTTTTCCTATTTTTCCTTCTTCCTCAAATGACAAGGTAGTGACTCTTTCTTGCTGTTATAAAGCTGTGACATTTATTAAGATGTTTGGATTGATATGAGGCTTCTGATTGCTCCTTGTGGCTGCTGCTTTATAACAGGATGTCAGTCACGGTTGCCAGAATGTCTGTGTGCTTTCTACTCATCTGTCATTTGCTTCGAGTAAGCTATGCCATGTCTATGGTAAATGCAGGAACGCAGTCTCTATTTATGACTTGGCACAGTTCTTCAGACCCTTATTTCCACAGAGTGCATAACTAGAGTGAATCCTTTCAGAACAACTCATTGAATTTTCTTTAAAACAATTTCTTTTAAATGATGTGTTTTTTTTAAAAATCTTAATTGCCTATATTTTACAGATAAAGCACGCAGAGGGCTGTTATGATTCAAAATCATACAGCTACCAAACTGGTGTGGGAAATGGAGGTTTTCTCATCACAGATGCTGGTTCTCTTCTACCATAATCCTGTGTCATGGACACACAACCATCCTCCTTCCCCTCCGCTGTCCCTGCTCCCACTTTAATTCCCTCAAGAGGCAAAAGGAAGATTGGAAAAATAACTGGAAAGAGTTTTGGGGACAAACTGGGCTATTTTATGAATAGTTTCCTCTTTCATTTTTAATGTAACTTCATGTCTTAGCTCACTGATTCTCTAAGTGACTGTAAAGCAGTTTTATTTCTAGTTTACAAACAGGGAAACCAAGACAAAGACAGGGTACGGAACAGTTTTGGGTCACATTTAGCTCCTCATTTCCAGCACACTGCCCTTCCCATTAGAGACTAATACGACTACAATGAGTGTAATTACCTAGGAATCATCTTTTATTAGGTTCCTTTCTATTCTTTACT